GGGGGGGGGGGGGGGAAGCTTCGTGTGTGGATACCAGCGAGACGCTGACATGATAATATTTATTGCTGCGATAGAGTGTGACTCGGTTATGTCACGAATCGGCACGGCCGTCCGCATATATATCGCGACCGTCAGTCAGTCATTATGCTACAGAGAGCCACACACATATATCACGCAAGGCGCCACACCACGGCCACTCGGCCACTCGGCCACTACCACAGAGGCGAGCGAGAGAAAAAGCCGTCGTCCCACGATCACACACACAAGAGGCATTCATTCGGCCGCTTGTCGGCTTGCCTCTCGACACGCACACACACACGCACACACACGACCAGCAGTGACCACCCGTCAGGTCAGGCAGCTGTGTCCGCATCCGGGGGCAGCCAACCTTCATTCCATGCACCCCCACACGCGCAAGGAAGAGCAAACAAACACTCTCGCTGGCTACGTAGATGTGCTACGTAGATGTATACGACACGACACAGGAAGGAGCCGGCCGATCCGGCCGCTGTCTGGCGCTACCTACCGCTCTGCCCTCCATCGGACGGACAGGCCGGGGGGGAGGGGAGTAGCTAGTGCCACACACACATTTACCCAGAGCTGGTCGTGTCGCATCGTATCGCATCACGCCAGATAGTTGTAGGTGTTGGGGTCATCTGCGTTGCGCTCCAGATACTCTACGCCAAGGACACATCACACACACACACGCACAGAGAGAGAGAGAGAGAGAGAGTGCAGGGAGGCGCCTCCGTGTGGTGGGACAGCGGGGATGCTTGGCTTGGCTGAGGCACCTCACCTCTTTCGATGAGCGATTCGATACGTTTCTTGACGTCGGAGGATTTGCATGGGAAGCGTATCTGGCTGAATAGCTCCGTCATGAGCACCTGGTGGGGGGCGGTCTTCTTGTACTTCATGATGCGAACTATCGCCGCGTCAACCTGCACACACACACACACGCCAGACACACACACACACACACACAGACAGCGGGTGAGAGTGACCCGGGTGGGAGGGCGGGGGGCCAGAGTGTTTGTGATGCATGCGTTCGTTGGTTGCAGGGTTGACCGACCTGGTACTGTCGGTCCTCGAAGACCTTGTTCTGGGTCGCGTCAGCCTCCTCCTTCTGATGGCACACACACACGCACACGCCAGACAGACAGACAGACAGACATGGGAAACACGGGATGCAATGCATTGACTGCGTTGTGTTAAAATGCAATGTGTGTGTCCTCCCGGCTGGCTGACCGTTTCCTTTGACTGTATTTGGTTGATGGTGAGCCTGAAGAGCTTGCTCAGGAACTGGGAGTTGAACTCAAACACGTCGCTGCCCGACACCTAAGCCACACACACACAGAGCCACACACACATCAACCAACATTCTCACCCGGATCTGGCTGCCTCTCTGCCTCTCTGCCTCTCTCTCTCTCTCTCTGTGTGTGTGTGTGTGTACCTCTCTGCCGGGTGACCTCTTGATGAGGAGTTTGTTGACCTTGTGCAACGACAGCGACTGCAGCGTCCGGACCAGCTCACTGCGCTCTGCGCACAACCCGCCAGTCACTTGTTTGTGTGGCTGGTCACCTCTGTGTGTGTGTGTGTGTGTGTCGCTTCCTACCTACCTATTTTGGTAGCGGCTTCGATTTCGTCGCACGAGAGGCTGTCGGCATGGTTGAACAGCAGCAACACGATCGCCTGACAACGAAAAGACGTGCATTCGTTAGTTGAACTGAGTTGATGGACACCCCATGACACGCGCTGCCCCCCTTCTTGATAGACCTGGCAGTGCGAGACGACCAGTTCGTGTCTGCCCCTCCCCCCCACCCCCTTGCCAGACGCACGGCCGGAGGGCGCCGCTGCCGCTGCCGCAGCTGCGGGACCGTCAGTCATGACACTGTCACCACCGTCACCACCACCACTAGCACCAGCAGGAGCACTGCCCTCTGACCCGACAGCTTGCTGAACAGCACAGAGTGAGAGAGTGAGCAGAGATGCTGGCTGGGCTTGGCTTGGTTTGGTTGTGTTGTGTGAGAGAGACTGACCCCCACCCTTGCGGGTGCGGTGAAGGATGCGCGGAGGGTGGCCTGGCCGAGGGAGGTCAGGAACTTCAAACTACGACCTGCGACACACAAGGGAAGGAAACAAACCGTGACCCACAGTCAGTCAAGACGGTCTGTCTGTCTGTCTGTGTCTGGGCCCTCTGCCGGGCCCCACTGATCTGACCCCTACCGCTGTGCTTTGAGAGGTAGTATCGGCGAAACATCTCCTGCACGCGATTCGCCTACACAACACCACACACACACTCATTCTCATTCTCATTGCCCCCCTCCCTCCCGCTGCCCAGCCCATGTGCTGCAGCTAAGGACATTACACTGTTGGGGTATGCGATGTCGGCGCATGTGGTGTAGTGCGGCCAGGTGCCCGTCGTCAGCACGTGGCAGGTGAACTCCATGCCGGCGTCCTTCAACGCACCCTGCGTCTCCTCACGCTACGAGAGAGAGATTACGGCCGATGACGGTAGATCTGATGACCGGTCAGCCATCGTGTGTGTGGTGTCCTTACTGCCAGGAAAGTGTCGAGTGTGCCGCGCGACAGGTCCTGCAGACAGGCAGGGAAACAGGGGCTGCATCTGTGTGTGTCTCTGTGTGAGTGGGTGTGTGGTGGGAGACCATGTCTTTGAACATGCCCTCGAGCTTGGTGGTGAATGACGTTCCGCACTCTGAAGACACACACGGTGACGGCATCCCCTCTTGCGTGTGGGGGTGCATGTATGTGTCTGTGTGAGCTCTGTGTGTGCTATGTCGTGTCGCACCCTCCTTGAGTTTCTGTATCATGGACTTCTCGGCGTCCGTCGAGCTCGACTTGGACAGCAGCAACCGCTTGGCCAAATCCTTCTTGTAAAACGCCTGCGCCCAACACACACACACACACACACGAGGCACTTCCGTCTCTCTCTCTCTGTCCCTCCAGCCATCTGTCTGTCTGTCTGTATGTATGTCTGTATGTCTGTCTGTGTGACCTCGAAAGTGTCTTTGGCGTAGAGATATCTGAAGAGCACCATGACCCGGTCGAGTGTCTCGTCGAGCTCCAGGTCGCTGGAGGGCCGCCCCACCCCCGACGCACCTCCACTGCCGCCGCGCAGCAGCTCGTCCACATACTTGGCTGACACACACACACACACACAGACAGTGTGCCTACGTGAGTGTGAGTGATGGATTACCTACCGAGCAGCGACGCGGGGACATTGGGGTTTTCGTTGAGGAAGGTCTCAAACGAATCCTAGACACACACACACACACACAAGTGGCTGAGTGCAGCAGGTGCATCGGCACGTGTGACATCCAGGCATCCATCCATCCACGTGTGTGTGGTGTGCAGGGTGTGGTGTGGAGGGTAGCTCAGCGTAACTATGACACGAGAGTCAGTGTCAGCACAGTGTGGCGCCAAAGGCCGTCAAAAACTGACGCGCCGTCATGGCGACTCAGGAGACAACCGATAGTGATGCATCCTCGCTCCCTCGCTCGCCGCCCGCACACACACACACACACGTGTGTGAGTCACCTACCTTCATGGAAAGGTGGAAGTCGAGATTCTTCTGGAATGCCTTCTGGTGTATGGTGTCGAGTCGCGTCTTGAACTCTAGTAGGTTGCCGACCAGCATCCTCTGGTTCTCGCGCTCCTCGTCCTTCATCATCGCAGCACCGAACTTCTGTGGATATCATATCGAGGCAGACAGGCAATATTGACACACACACACACCTGAATGATGTGCCGATCTTCCGTTGGACATCTGTGTGTGTGTGTGTGTGTGTGGGCAGACCAGACCGCCCTACTGACTGACCTTGACGCAGGATGACCAGGCGGCACGCACCTTGGGCAACGCATCAACCTACACACACAGATTAACAGCGGCATAGGGGATCCTTGGGCTGGCGGGCCTCTGTGCGTCTGTCCTGTCCAGTCCATCTACCTGGTTATAGAGCCGGTAGAGCCTCTCAAGGTCCGTCACGCGATCATACTCAACCAACGACATGAACCCTGACGCACACAAATACACACACACACACACACACAGGCACACAGAATGGCCCCAGCCCTTTCCTCTCTCTGTGGTGTGATGTGATTGACTGACCCTTGTCAAGGAGGTCCTGCGTGTGGTTCTCCAGCAGCCGGCGACGCACACAGTCCAGCAGCCGGCTGCGGGTGCGGATGTCGAGGTACTTCTGCAGACGATCCTCCTGCACAGCACACAACAAACAAACACGACAGACAGCACGACAAACAACATGACAAGCACACACACAGACAGAGATAGATGTCTGTTTGCAGGCTGTCTTGTTAGCTATATATCGGCTGTGTGGGGTGCTGGCCCTGCCCTGAGGGCACCTCTTGGTTGATTCTGCGTTCGACGTGTGCGAGGAAGTCTGCGGCCTGTGCGGTCGATATGAGCTGGTTACCCTCGTTCTCGTAGAACCGGGCTGTCTCCTCCAGAAACTTCTTCTCAAACGCCTCGTCGTATACCTAGACATATGCACACGCACACACACGCCCGGCAGCTCAGTTGTCTGGTCTGCGTGCCGACTGCTGGTCTGTTCTGTGGTCAGGTCAGGTGGTCTGGTTACCCTGAGGCTGACGAGCATGCGCACCAGGGTCTTGAGCAAATCGCGCGGCACATACAGCCCTTGCCTGACGTGACACAACACAAACACACACACAGAGACATACGGAGAGAGAGAGAGAGAGAGAGTGTGTCGAGCCCCGGCGGGCCTCCCACCTTTCGCTTTGTATGAGTGCGAGCAGCCCGTCGACCGTTTTACTCTGCACCTCCTGCAGCTCCTGGAAACGCTTCCGAAACTGCCACAGACCCAGCTCCCTGCACACCACACAGGCAGACACACTCGGTCAATGCAGGGATCGTTTCCTTGGTGTCCAACCTTCCTTGTGTGTGTGTGTGTGTAGGTGCTGTGGTGTGCTGACCAGACAGGCCTGATGTGGCTGTTCTGCTGGGCGAGGACATAGGTGCGATCCAAACACAGAAAGAAATTCTGAAGGGTGGCCTGCGGGCGGCAGCAGGGAGTCGGGAGTCGGGAGGAGGGAGGACAAGGCAGACGTAACTTCTCACTCAGTGAGGCATGTGGTTGTCAGGTGTGGTGTGCTGTGGTGTGGGTGGCAGTCCTTGTGTCTGTCTGTCTGTCTGTGTGTCCTGACTGACTGACTGACCGACCCACCATGGTCTGGCAGTGCTCCTTCCAGAGCTGCTCCACTAGAGGCAGAAACGCCTCAGGGTCGCCCGCCTGCGCCAACAGAGAGCTGCAGTGTCACACACACACACACGCACACACACACGGACAGGTGGGAGAGGGTAAGGCAGTGCAGTGGCTGTTGTGTGTTTGTGATTCGCTCGCCGGGCACTGACTTGACTTTTTTGGTGATGTGTTGTGAGCACTCCTTCTCGACGCGGCCGTACAGGTTGGCGGCCATCTTGTGCAGACACAAATTCTCGACGTCCTGCGCTCGACAAACAAACCACGACATTTACCCAACCCATGAGCGAGGGAAGTTCCTGCAGAGGTCTGCTTGCTCTGCTGATCTGTCTGTCTGCCTAGGTGTACTCTGTATAGATCTTCTTCGCTGTCGTTGATTTTTCTGCGTTCGAAGACGGCCACGACAGCCCGCTGCAGCTTGTCCCAGGTGCGGTCCTCAAAATCCTCGGGCAGACGAGGCTTCTCTGGACACACACACACACACACACAGAGCACAGCACAGCACACACACGACATGCACGACAGACAGACAGACAGATAGACAGACAGAGAAGCGCGGGAAGCCCTGTTTCTCTGTTTCTCTGTCTGTTTGTCTGTCTGTCTTTGTGTTTCCCTTTGCCTCCCTGCCGTCCGTCCCGCGTGTGCGTGCGTACCTTTGAAGGCCTTGATGACCATCTTCTTCCCCGTCCCCCCCGTGTTGCTCCGCTTCGGCGCAGATATCATCCTCACGCACACCAAACACCACACGAGATGAATGGATGGATGGATGACCCGCCACACCCGGCACGACGACAGCAGTCAGCCTTTCGGATCCGGCGCGGGATTATTGACCAAACACAAGTCTGCTAGGCAGAATGTGATGAGCAAATCGAGCGCCTGCGTAGATGAGAGGGCCTTACAGGCGTAGATGAGCCAATCCGAGGATATGCTCGCACCAGACCATCCAATTCCTTAGGACATTGCGTGAAACCGCTCTCTCCTGGGTCAAGCGTCGGGGCATTCGTCAATGGATCCCGTTCGTGGGCCGTTCGTTGCCTCTCGCATGGCATCCTTCAGATCATTCTCCCACGATCAGCTGCTTCAAGGTCACCCGCCACAAGACGTGCACTGCGCTGCGTGCACTGCACGGAACGCATGCTTTGCTGTGTTTGTTTGCCTACAGGGATCCAGCAGCTGTGTTTGTGTCACCCGGATGCCGCCGATCTTCTCCTCTCCCAGGTCACTGCCGCTGCCCAGGTCGTGACACAGCCTGTCGAGGAGGACAATTCCGCCGTCGATAGCAGCAGCAGCAAGCAGCCCACACGGGCTGCCAGCAACTCGTCACGCAAGCGCGGCTATGGCGATCTGCACACACCGGGTCCCGGCCATAATACTATTCCATACTGCTCACGGCAGCTGATCCCTCTCCACCAGGGGAGGGACTCGCTGTTCGTGGCGCCGGAGCAGATCATGACGACAGCCGCCATCGCCAGTACGGAAGCAGCTGAGTGCAACGGGGCGGGGGACTCGGCAGCATCATCTTCGGCAGCCGGCGACGTGAGTGCCTCGGCGTCCATGCTGCGGACGGGGCCACCCACTGCAGCAGCAGCAGCAGCAGCACCGGCTGTGTCATTCCCTGCCGCAAGCTCTCCTGATGCAATCGAGCTGATCAGACTGCTCAACAAGAAGGCGCGGCAGGACAGGGCGGAGGGCGCGCGGAGGGGAAAGGGCACCAGGGCCAAGAGATAGATAAGGGCACTAAAGTCGTGAGGGCTGCTGCTAGGTGTGGTGTGGTGTGGTGTGTGCTGTGTACTGTGTACCTTTCTCATGTGGCAGCTGCCTGGCTGTCTGTCTGCTGCGGAACTGTATGGGTAGACAGATGGGTAGACGTTGGATCTTTCAAGCAAGCACTGCGTAGTGGATGGGATGTGCCACGCGGGGGACTGGCTGACTGAGGCGCACAGCTGTTAATGAATGCCATGTGTCAAGTGCGTTCCGTCCATCGCCTTCATCCTTCATAGGGTGCTCAAAGGGGCACACCTTTGTTCGCAAGCAAATCCATCCATCCATCCATCCATCCCGTCTAGCAAGGAATACGTAAAAAGCCTCTTACGAGTGCTCCGTGTGCCACGCCTGCCTTGCCCAGTCAGTCGTCACGACAATACACCCAGGAGAGAGGCAGGCAGGCAGGCAGGCAGTAGCAGGCAGGCCGACAAAAAGTGTCCAGCTGACTGACAGCTGGTAGACGGCCGCAAAATGGAATGGCCAGCCACAGCCACAGCCACAGCCATCATCAGCGTACGTACGTAAAAAGCCTACATCAGCAACGAACGCAGCACGGCGACACGACGACACGAACGAACGACCAACGGTTGAGTGCTTGATTGATTGCACTCTCCCTCAATTGCCTGCATCCGCTCATCCATCCATCCATCTAGATGCAGGCAGACGACCGACCGACAGACCGACACGACCGACACAGAACGACAGACAGACAGACAGACAGAGTAAGAGAGAGACAAGAGAAGGCAAGACAGGATGGCTCCAGCAGCCATTCATTCACACCACGCCACGTGGGTTGGAAAACGGCGAGTCATCTTCTCTGATATCATCAATGGTGAGTGATGCAGTCGCAACTTGTGTGTGTGTGTGTGCAAAGGTAATTAAGGCAAGCAAAGCACGAAGCACATGTATTGAAAACATCAAACACAACACTCACACACACCACATGGCTGAGTGAGTGTGTGTGTGTGCATTTGGCGTCGTCGATGAGTGCGCGTCTGTCTGTTTGTCTCTCTGCGGTGCACTGCCGATGCTTAAAAGGAAGGGCAGGGAAGAATCAATCAATGTACACCACACCGCAGCCATGCCCACCAACACACACGCAATGGACCAACCAACCAGCCACACACATCGGCATTCGTCCCTCTCCCCCGCCCACGACCGAAAATCAAAGCTCCGACCACCAAACACTTGTCTGTCCACCTCGACACAAAGACAGAAAGCCTAGTGCACTCATTCCAATCCGTTTGTCTGCCCGTCTCACCTCGCCTGGGTGTTTTCCTATCACTTGGCGGCCTTGTCCTTGTCCTTGTCGACGCTCTTCTCGGTGTCGATGCTCACGATGACGTCCACCCGGCGGTCCGGGGCGTCCCCTGGCAGCGATGAGGGAGGCCGCACGGACGTCTCGTCCTTGCCGCCCGGGGGGCGATCGGTCGAGTCAGCTGTGACGCGGGGGTCCTTGGCAGCAGAGGACGATGACCCGATCGGGGCAGCAGGGTAGGGATCGGGAGTGTAGAAACCTGCACACCATGAATCAACACAATGGATGGATGAATGTGTGTGGGTGTGTCACATGCACGTCCTTACCTCGTTTGAGCGATCTGGGTAGCGGGGGTGCGAGGTCGCGTCGGATGTAAGGGTGTCCCACCCCCAGCGACTGCACCCCTCCCTCCTGCAGCGCCTTGGCCTCCCACACCGAGGCGTACGACCCGTGCTGGCTGTTGCGGGTCGAGTGAGGGATGATGGTGTACCCCAGCCCTCCACCCTGGATCGACACGGGGCTCGACAGCATCGCCGCGGGCTCCCCGCCCTCCTCACCCTCACCCTCTCTGCGCCGACTGCCGCGGTGCACTATCGGGATGTGCACGTTGTCGGGCTTGGGGGCCGGTGTGACACCGTCCTTGTCCTCTGCTGGCTGTGCGTTGAGGGGCTGCTCGAGCTCATCGATGGTCATGTTCCACTCGTAGTCGATGTTGGACCGGGAGCGTGGCGAGGCGCATCCGCCGGGTGAGGTCGACCGGTGCCGCATGACCTGGTTGGCGCTCTCGCCGCCCTTCATCCACCGCAGCCAACGGGGGGGCGTCCAGCGCTCCGTCCACCGCTCCAGCAGCTTCACTATGGCCAGAATGATCGTACTGACAATGCATTAAGAGACGAAATGCACAAAATGCACACCAAGCCAAATTTGGTGCAGAATAAGGGTCGGTCGTCATTCGGTGTCGGTGCTACGGACGGACCGGATTGAGAGGAAAGCGAAGTAGCTGACGAGTCCGGCGACGACGCCGTTGGCGATTGAGAATGTGAGGGGCATGACGGCGATGGTGAGGAAGGCCGGGAAGGCCTGCTCGAGGTCATCCCAGTCGATGAACCGACACGGCGCCATCATGAATATGCCAAGACCCACCAAACTGAATACACACACACACGCACACACACACACAGCACACAGGCGCACTGTCTGTCCACACGTGGGCTGGGGCGGCTGTCTGTGTCTGTGTCATCAATCCTTCTGCTTACGGTGGCGCGGCAGCAATGGCGGGCACGCACCCAAACAGGGGCGGGAAGAATAGAGCAATGACGAACCCAATGGCGACAACGATGGCCGTGAGCCCCGTACGGCCGCCCTCATGAATGCCGGCACACGACTCGTTGTGGATGATGACGGGCGAGCACCCCAGAGGCGCTGCGACAGTGGTGGCCACCGACGAGGCGAGGAAGGCCTGGCGGGAGCCGGGCAGCTTGCCGCCCTGGTCGATGAGACCTGCCTGCAGACCGGCGCCAAACTGCACACCAGCAGTGTCTGCAGCACAGCACACGGAACAGGCAGGCATTATGGCAGACAGGCAGGAGGATTCAGGTAGGCACAGTGGGCTGGCCGTCACTGGCTGTCCGTGTGTCTCTGTGTTGAGTACCGAATAGAGCAACAACGAGGAGTGCCAGGGCTACCCACAGCAGCTTCCCTGCATAAGGCAGACACACAAGACACGAGAAGAAGACAATGAAGGCAGACACCCATTTATCCATCCATCCATCCCTCAGGCAGCCCCCTCTCCTGACTGACCCCCACCCCACCCCACCTGAGTCGTCCCAGAAGGCCTGGAAGTCGAGTGCGTGCAGCGGGTTCATGAAGTTGGGGAATGCGAAGACCGCCTTGGGCGGGTCGGTCAGCCCCATCACCCACGACGTTATTGTCACAAACCCAATACCCATGACCATCGAACCCTTGACGTTGAACGACAGCAGCACCGCTATCAGGAGCACCCCGCTGATCGCCAGCCACATGTTCATGCTCGTCAGGTCACCCAGCGTCACCAAAGTGTGCGGCGACGGCACGACCACCCCGGCGAAGCGCAGGCCGATAAAGGCCTGGAAAAGCCCGATGGCTACGGTGAGGGCCTTTTTGATGCAGTCGGGGCAGAGTGCCTGGACGGCGTTGCAGAGGCCGGTGACCGAGAGGAGGGCAAACGTGACGCCCTGCACGAGCACCGCTACGAGGGCAGCACCCGGCTTCACATCCAGCAACCAACACACGCCGTAGGTGAAATACGAGTTGAGCCCCATCCCTGCAAATGCCGACACACACATGCACACACACGGAGAGGCGTCAATCAATGACACTCGTGAGGTGCCTGCCTGCCTGTCTGTCTCCCATCTGTCCGTCCACTCGCTCCGCTCACCGGCAGCCATCCCGAAGGGCAGGTTGGCGAAGAGGCCGACCCACAGACAGGCGATGATGGCCGTCACGCAAGTGGCGGCGTGGATGTGCCCAAAGACGACGGGGTCTCGGATCTGTCCTGTGGTCTCCTTGCTGAGGTCGCCGCGGGAGGGCTCGAAACAATTGGCAAGGATGTGAGGGTTCACGATGACGCTAAACGAACGCAGCCAGCGGTAACGGGAAACAAACAAGGTGCCATTCGTGTCGACGAGATGAGGTGAGGTGAGTTGAGTTGAGGTGTGTGGCGCCTTCCTTACATGTATGACATGGTGATGAAGGTCACGCATCCCGCTCGGATCTCTGTCGCTATGGTCGTCTCTGATGCGATGCGTTGGCCAACCACACGAACGAACAAGAGAGAGAGAGTGGATTGCGAGCACCAACAACACAGACACACATCAATCCACGCCAGGCCATGCATCCCCCTGTGACACGTGCTGACTTCCTTACCGCGTTCGTGCATTCGGAAGAACTTCTCGAGGGCATCGGCAGTGCGGCGTCGGATGCCGCCTCTGCCGCTCGTGCGCTCCAGCTCACGAATGGTGGCGTCGATCACGGAGGACGAGTCACGGGGCGGGATGCCCTGCCCAGCCTCGAGGTCCGGCTCCATCTTAGCGACTCCTGACCCTCCTTCTGGCATCACACCCGTTAGCGAAGGGATGCACCAATCTGGAATGGCATGAACCAATGAGTCCTCTCACGAGATCTCCGTCAAATACCCACACGGCGGCGCTTCGTACGTTTCCTTCCCTCCGCCCTCAATTCTGCAAGCTTAGCTCGCAGATCTCTGGGCGGGAAAACCGCTCTCTCTGGGCGGGAGAAGAGAAAGTATAAGCGTATCTGCTCCTTCGTGACAGATCTGAGGCGAGCGCCCCTCGCGTGTTGTCTGCGGAGGCGCCAAGAAGCGGTTGTCTGTCTGTCATCTCCATCGTCATGGGCGAGGAGGACAGCGGGTGGGACCAGATGTGCCAGGAGTGGCTCGTCGATACGGGCTACTGCTTCGCCGGCGGACTCGCTTCGGTAATACAAAACGAACGAGGGAACCGGCCAGACGGACACGTTTGTCGCTTGTGTGTGCCTGCGTGTGTTGTGTGCAGGTGGAGAACGGTGCGGTGTATGCGGCTGCCCCTGTGGCTGAGAGTGCTGGCTGGGCGTACATGTACAAGGAAGACCACGATGAGGAGTTCCCAAATGAGGTAGGTGAGAACGGGACGGAGCGACGCACGCGATTTGGCGGCATGGTGGTGCCTTGGTGTGCTGTGTGTTTGTCAGACTGGCGATGCGACCGAGACCGTCACCATCAACGAGCCACACAACATCAAACAGGTCAGTCAGTCGCTTGCACACACAAAGTGTTCGTTCGTGTGCCAGCCAGCGATCGATGCCGCGCGTCGTGCAGGCGATCACTGAGGGTCGATGTCCGCACGGCGTCTGGTTCGGGGGCGTCAAATACAAAGTCATCCGACAAGTGAGTGAGGCTCCCTACCCTACCGACACACATGGACTTTAAGTCATGTGTTGTGTTCTGTGTGCATCTTATCTTCCCTTCTTGTGTTGTCATCCGCCATCCGCCCATCCATCCATCCATCCATCCATCCATCAGGACCTCAATTTTGAGTCAGGTGACTACAGCTTCAACTGTGTGGTGCTGGCCAAGGAGAAGGGCGGCGGCCACCTGGTGGCCACACCGGGCGGCACCATCGTCATCGCCCTCTTCGACGAGAACCTCGAGCAGACGTCGGGCAACTGTCGGAGGGTCGCACTAGCATTCGCCGAGTACCTCGCTGAGCAGCAGTACTAGCTGGCTGGCTGATGGAGTGACTGACCGGTCCGTCAATGTCTGCCTGACTGTTTTGGGTGTGTTATCTTGTCGTCGTCATGGTTTGGTGGCCGATTTTTTGGGGCCTCTTTGTGTGGGTCGGGGGCCCGGCAGGGGCGGAGGGTCAATCACCTATCTATCCACGACACTCATTGCGTGTTCAGCGGACGGAAATGCTGGTCGGTCCGTTGAGTGAGCGTATGTATGTGTGTTTGTAATGACTGACTAAATGGCGACGCAGGGCAGGTGTGTGGGTGAGGTGAGGTGAGGTGAGGTGAGGTGTGCGGGCGTGGCGTGTTTTGGCCGGTCAGGTTGTAGTTTCTTTTGTAAACCGATGTGAGACGGCTCCCTCCCTCTCCCCCCCCTCAATCCCCCTGTGTGTATGTGTTCGTATGGATGGATGGATGGAGATGGATGGGCGGATACGTTCATTTGCAGTGACGTGACTCTCACCCTCTCCGTCTGGATGTCTGGATGTCTGTCTGTCTGGATCGGCTGTCTGCGTGGATGGATGGATGGACATTTGCTGACCCATCCCTCCCTCCCTCCTAAGTTATTATGTGATAATACACATCCACACAGGCCATGCCATGCACCCACCGTCCCACCCACCCTCCCTCCTTGCCTACTGACTGCACTCACTGTCTCTCCGGATGACCAATAGGTGTGTACCTCCACACACCACACCACCAGTCGTCTGTCTGTCTCTTCGAGCACTCACCTCACCTCACCCCACCTCACCCCAGCCCACCCACCACCTACTCACCTATCAACACCCATCCAGTCCACGACTGACTGACAAGGGGGGATATTCACATCAGCAAACAAGGACTGACTGCATTTCGCTAAAAACGCACAAGAAGGCGAAAAGCCCCAGGTCAGATAATGGGCTCCATCGAGCCGCTCACGACAGCTGCTGCAGGGGGCTGGGGGGGCTGGGGCGAGCCGCCAGACTCGTCACCATCACCGCCACCACCGCTCGAAGGCGGCATGATGGGCATATCGGGTATCAGCAGAAAGGTTAGCGGTATGCACATGGCCGGCAGGATGATGTGGGCCACCAGCACGAGATAGGTCAGGTTGCGGAAATCGCATTCACCCGACCCGTCGCTGCCGGTCTTGATGCCCAGCACCTCAATCAGCCACACACCGAGGGCGAGGGAGGCGTTCTGGCCGAAATTCATGAAGCTCTGAAGCACCGCGTACGATGAGGTGGCGCTGAGACACACACACACACACACACAGAGAGAGAGAGAGAGAGACACACACACACATATGATTCTGGTGCGGGTATGGGTGTTGTGTTGTGGGTATGTGGCTGCACACATACACTGAAGGCGATGTCAGCCTCGACAGCATGAGGATGCCGGGCATGATGTCCAGCATACTCGCCAAGTTGAGAATCATGGCATCACCACTGCAACACAACAGCCCCACACCACACACACACACACAGGCAGACCCCACTATGTCTCCTCCCTCTGTCCTTCCCTCTCTCTTTCTCATGCCCACTTACAGCACGAACGCCGCCTTGTCAGGGACCCCCATCTTGATATTGACCCGCTCTATGATCAGCAGGTCCACACACGACGCCACAATCCGCACAATCGTCATCATCCAGAAGGCTTTCCGAAACCGCCACTTTGTGACCACTGTGTGGAATATAACCAAACCCAGCCCCATTGCCAGGCTGCCGACCAGCCGCGAGACTGTCTGGTAGTAGGTGAAACCGAAGTTAGGCCCGTTCGGCACACATGCGGGGTCCGCCGTGTACCAGAAGTCGATCGCCCCGGGGATTTGGACATACAAGCAAACTGATGAGCAGATGACGTGAGTAGGGCAGGGATGGATGGACACACCAATGGCTGGCTATGCGAGCCGGTGTTGGTCGATTGGGGGGTGAGGTGAGGTGCCTACCTACCACTGATGAAGAAGTAGAGATTCGACGTCGCCTGCTCCTTGGCGAGAAGTGCAAAAGCCAAAGCGGCCACAAATGCAGCCACACACGCAGAGTAGACCAGTTGGCAGAAGGGAGACGACGTCGCACCTTCAAAAGACGGAAGGCAGAGAGAACGACACACAACACATCCCCCCAGTGACCCCTCCGTCTGTGACTCACCCACGATGGCCAGTCCGAGTGCGGCGATGCCTGACGCAATGCCCATCATAAACGTGGGCCACTCAGCCTTGATCTTATCCACCTGACGGACGAACAGGGGCAGACAGACACGCTCCCCCGCTGGATGCATCGGGGGCTCACTTGCAGTTTGTTGCCATTTGGGGGCGGTATTCTCTCCTCCGGCAGCCATCCCTTCAGGATGGGGTAGATCCGACTGAAGCGACAAGGGCAGACAGATCCAAAACACAAGGTCAGCACCTGCACACACAGAGAGGGCATTGGTTGGTTGGCGGTGGATGTGCACTGCCGTGCCGTGTGGTGTCCCTGCCCGCCTGACTGACCAACGTAGTCTGATATCGGCCCAACAGTCGCACTCGCAATCACGTCCCCACACACACTCAGGAACCACACAAACGTGACGATCTCGCCTCTGACACACAAAGCACACTTACTTGTCAGTCAGCTGTGTGCGTGTGTGTGTGTATATGTGTGTGTGTGCGCATACCCCGCCCCCTGGCGCATGGCCATCATCTCGGTGTACTTGCCGTCACACAGCATGTCCTGTATGGCCGGCTGCAGCTGGCCCAGGAAGAGAAACCCGCCAACCGACCACACCTGACGCCTCGCGACTGCAGCCACCAACATCCATCAAATCAGGAACAGGAGGGCAATCTGGTCATTATCTGCTTTGTTTGCCCTTGTGAGCAGTGCGGAGTGGACACCGACTGCTGTGTGGGAGTGTAGCAAGTCCGAGCAGCCCGATGACGCCGACGACATTAGCGATGAACATGTACCACTTGGCGTGGTACCCGCCGATGGGTTGAGTGTCCGTCACGACTCCGAACAAGCCTGGGAGATAGATACCACACATCAATCGACAGGAGCAGCGAGGCTGTCACGTGTCGACCGACCATCTGTATGTATGACCTTTCATGGCCCATGGTGTGAGGGCAATGGTCATGCTCGTCTGGTAAGACACACCATCCAACCCCAACGCACTGCATGCCATCCATCCCATGCACCACACACACGCAAACACAAACACAAACACACAAGCACACACATCCGTTGGGACTTTTCTCCAGGCGGCGCAAGAAGAGAGAGAGAGAGCCTCACCGACCGAAAGTAGGACAGTGGCACCAGCTTCAAGTACTGCCATATGGTGCCTTTTACGAACAGCTGAATGCTCCATAACAGCCTCAAAAAGTCACGTCCATACAGCGTCTCCAGCCTCCGGTAGAACTCACCCCCACCAACACACACCAACCCTCCATATCGCCACCTCCCGAACCAGCCCAGAGAGGGCAACCGGGGCAGCAGGGCGGCCCTCGACTTGCGGCTGTGCCTTCTATTGCTGCTGTTGGATGATGCGTCGGTGTCGATGTTTGTGTCGACGGTGTACGCGGATGAGGATGGGAGTGAGTCTGACGAGGGGGAGCTGCTGCCGAGGACGTCGGGGGGATACTGGCTGGGGGGTCACTGGCACGGCAATCACTCATCGATTACGGGTGCTCACGCCGGAACGGTGTTTGTCAAAAGCTTTCCGCACAGTGAGACAGAACTCGGCCGTTGGAAAAGACGGCAGCCGTTGGGGTGTCCATGGCGCACTAGATCTCTCCAAGTATCAGGGGAGCAGATGGGCTTATGAGCAACACAGCACGCAACTGGACCACCACGACCTCACAAGTCAACTCCGAACATGCACACCACATTGGAAGTCAGTCATCGCCTCTATCGATAGCCTCTGCAATCACGGCAGCAGCCGCTCCCGCAGCAGCCTCCATTACACCTTCACTCTCACATGAGGACTCCCCATTTACCTCTTCCTGCTCATCATGATGCTTGCCCGCATCGCCCTCTTCACCGTCTTCACACACGTGCGCCGGCTCCTCCTCTGCTTCTGCTTTGCCATGGGGAATGGCCATGCTGAAGGGCACCACGCTTTGGCTGTATGTAAGGCTGTCGGCATGCTGGAGAGAGGCCGATATGTCCCACATCAGGGAGGCCGAGAGTTCGGAGTCGCCCCGGAGGTCCTGCTGCTCATCGATTTGAAGGTCCTGCAGGCATTCACAGAAGGGTGGATGAGTGGGGAAGAGGTTTCATTGCAATGCATGGACTGTATCGCCGACCTGCAGCCTCTGCTGGAGCTGCCGGGCTGTCCTCTCCATGCTCAGAGACCGCTTCCGTGCAGCCTGCACACATGACATTCATGCGGCACACGACAGACAGCCAACAGCCCCTCCTCCACCTCCACAGTGACAGTCCACACAGCTTACGAGCTGCCCTTCGTGGTAAAGGGCCTCACAATCGGGAGCACAGAAATGTTTGTCTGGGAGGGAGGAGAAGAGATGGGTGAATGAGACATGCATGTACCCATGTGTGTCGATGTTTCTATCTGGTGGCTTGACCTGTGGCGTCCTCCTCCATGTCTCCCCGTTCGACATAGAACTGCTTAAAACACGTGTAGCAAGAGACCTACGAGGAGAGGGTGGGGAAGGAAAGGTTGACTCGCCGTCTTGTGTCCATCCACTCATCCATCCATCCATCCACCACACCTTTTCTTGCGATTGTGCGCTACTTTTGGTCGGCGTCTCGGTGGGCCCTCGGCACTCTGAGGCAGAGCCTGATGATGCCATTACAATGGGCAGGTACGAGTGAATGTTTCGTGTGTGTCCTTTACTCATTGATGGTGTCTCCTCCGCAGCTGGTGTGAGGGGCCGCTTGCCACCAGATGCTGACGCTGCACTGTTGGCCGCAGTCGTCACCCAGCTGTGTGTTGAAGACAGAAATGAATACATCAATCAGGGTGGCTGGAGTGTGCACTGTACTCCTCACTGCTGGTTGCCAGTAGCAGCCCAAAATGCCGAGGGGCTGGTGGTGGTGCCATTGGTCGCCCCGGGCAACAATGGTGCGTCTGTAGACCCCAAGTGCTCACCCGATGGCGGTGCCGCTTTACCGCTTCGCCACTCCTACACGCACCCAGAATCTCGTTCCCCACCATTCTGTTGCCATTCGGCAAGCCTGTGTGCACACCTCGACGGCCCTTTGAAAGTCCCGTGCATTTGCCTCCTCGTCAACAGCTCCCTCGAGCAGAGCACCGCCACACTGCCCACCCACATCAGCCGCAGCATGACAATTGGCGGCCTCTTCTGTCGCTTTGCGCTTGTGTTCGGGGGGTGATGGGGGGGCTCTTGGTGGGAGTGGTGGGCTGCAGGGGACGGGAGGGGCTCTCGACACCTGGCGAAGATACTTGCGCAGCTGACAGACAGGGTCAGAAAAAGCGCAAGAGACCCACGTGGGGTCATATTCTCTGCACATACCTACCTACCTTGATTCTGTGTCCGAGTGCGATGCCGATGGCCTTCATGTGTTCCTCCGTCATCTCCTCCAGCACCTCCATGCAGTCAAAACCGTTATCCAAAAACGCCGTCAGATACCGAGATAGCCCACACTTCAACAGGAATGTCTCAACCTCACGCGAATCTGCGTCCATGGCCGTAGCGCCCGACTGGCTGGACGCAGTCGATTTCTGGGTGGTCCGCATGGGCGTTGTTGACGTCGTTCCGCTCGCCCCAGTCACGTCCCACCCCCTTTTGTCTTGAGTGGTGGATCTTGCCCGTGCAGACCCCCTCGTACTTATATTGATATTGTCATCGCTTTTGGATGCCGCTGTGGCATTGCGTGGTCTGTGGCCGCCACGACTGCGTGTTGGGCGGGCGGGGCGGGGGGGATTGGCCACTGTGGACTCGAGAAGACTGTCAAGCGGGGAGCCTTTCGTACCTGCAGGCCAGACGTGCACACTTGCTGACGGACTATGCCTGTGGAATCCTGTCTTGCTCCTCGCACTACCATTCTGCAGCACCCTCTCCAGACCCGTTGGCCGCTTTGGTGGAGCTCTGACATTGCCGAGCCCTCCTCCTCCTCCCCTCGAAGGGCTCACCACACGCCCTCTAGACCTCCCTCTCAATGCTGCCGATGAGTCTTTCTGCAAAGTCGTCTCGTTTTTGGCAGCAGCAGCAGCAGGAGGGGGATTGAACACGGGGCCAGGTGGAAGAGACCTGTCGGTGCGAGTTTTGCCTGCCGATGAGCTTCGGTCGGTGGGCTGTCTCTGCTGCTTGGGCTGCTGTGTGTCGGGGCCGCTTTTCATGACTGTCTCGATGTAGCCCTTCGTCAGGGGCTTCTGATGGGGACACAGGGGAGCCATACAAAGGAGGGAACGACTCCCTACGTGTGAGAATGGATGGCTCATGCATCACCTACCTTGTCAGAGGCGCTCTGCCAGAGAGAGTCCTTCCCACCCCGCAAACTGACGAATTAAGGAAGAAATGACAGACAGAAAGGGCCGCATGTGCGCCACATGGGAGCCATTCCTCTAGCTACGCACGTACGTACGTACATGTCTTTCTTCTTCTTCTCCTGTTCCATGATCTCCCTGGGGACACACCACACAGCGTCACACACACAAGGATGCGTGATCTTCGTTCGTGTCATTGGTGCACCTGAGGAGGCTGAGCCGCGCCTCCATCTTGGCTGCATCCTTGGCCAGCTCGTGAGAGGCCGTCGGGGAAGCAGAGGACGAACGCACACGTGACATCTTGGAGCAAGACCGATGAGACGGGGGCCGCCCCCACCAAGCCACATGATGTAAATTGCCGACCGATCGCATCCCCAACATCTTCCACCGTCTGCGATGCGGCTGAATCGCCCGGACACCAACCCCTTCTCGGCAGATCTGTGCTCTGACGGCGACGAGGCCGCATCCATCCCACCCAACAAGTCGCCGTTCAGCGATGCATCCACCACCACCACCACACGATCAAGCGAGGCGTCCGACGAGGCGACTCCGCTCTTCCCTGACCGTCATCACGGCAAAGCAGACGGCGGGGTGCAGCTGCCGTGGGCGTGGAGCGGCCAGCGGCACGGGCCCGAGGTGCGGAAGGTGTTGGAGATAGTTTATGCGTTGCTGCTGTGGTACGTGACGGGGATCGGGCTGACAGCCCTCAACAAGGAGATGTTCGACATCCGCGGGTTCAACTTCCCTCTGCTCGTGACCAGCCTCCACTTCTTGGCGCAGTCTGTGGCGCTGCCCCTGCTGCTGCGGTATGGCGGCTGTCTTGCCGCCAAGTGGAGGCCGCTGGACTGGCGGAGGGATGGAGTCATGCTGCCCGTTATTGCCGCGTGCAGTGCTGGTACTATGAGCGAAAGGGGGGGGAGGGGCGAGTGGGGCATGGTTGGAAAACATCGCATGGTCGTGTTTGTGTGTGTGTGTCTGTGTGCGTGTGCAGTTGCGGTGATAAGCAGCAATGCGGCGTACGTGTACTCGAGTATCGCCCTGATGACGACCATCAAGGCCACAATACCGCTCGCAACCTACCTCTGCGGTGAGACCGACCGACGCAAGCAACGAATCTCACTCAGAGTGCTCTATTCCTTCCTTGCCCCCCTGGCACCCATGATAGGTATCTCGTTGGGCATTGAGCACTTGTCGTGGCGTCTGATGGGCATCGTCTTCATGGTGTCGGCATCCATATGGCTCGCCATCGAGGTGAGCTCACACACACACATGGGCGCGGGGGGAATGCATTGCGTGTGTGTTTGTTTGCCTGCCTGACAGGGGTTGGAGATTCAGTCGTGGCTGGGTATCTTGTTGAACGGTCTGGTAGTCATCAGCAGTGCAGTGAGGTGGTGCGTCGTACAATGCTCATGCAAGTAAGACTGACACGTATACCTGCCATCTCATGCAGAACGGCACCACCCACACAACATAATGATATATCTTGCTGCAGGCACTACAGCTCGGTGCAGCTGTTGGCGATGACCCAGCCCATCGCGACCGCCTGTATGGTGCCCGTCGCCCTGACCCTAGAGGCAACAAAGCTGCAACAATACTGCCACGGGTACGTCCGTTTGTTTCCCGCATACACATACGCTATTTCGTCGCTCGATTGTTCACTCACTCAGGTTTGCGTCTGACCGGTGGGGTGCGACGTTGATACTGCTGCTGGTGGGCCTCTCGACGGTGATGGCCTTCCTCGTCACTTATGCGAACTTCCACCTGGTTGGTGGCCGGACCGAGCCTGACAGACAGACAGACAGACAGACAGACCGACCTCAGAAGCTTCTCTCCCGGAATGTCCTGCCCTGTGCGTTGCATTGCGTCTGTCTCGGTGCCTTAGGTGAGCGTGACATCAGGGCTCACCCTGGCCCTCGCCGCTCAGACCAAATTCTTCCTGACCATACTGGTAAGGAAGATAACACAAAGACATGCAGGCAGGGACACCAGAAAACACTGACATTCCTCTCTCTCTGTGTCGCATACTAAAAGGTTGGTGTGCTAGCGTACCACGAGCGCGTCCAGTTCATGAGCTGGATGGGCCTCGTCCTTTGCAGCGTCGGCATCGTCATGTACGGCCGACTGAGAGCAGCAGAGAAGGCCGCCAGCAAGGATGACAAGACACACAGAAACCCATTTGAGGGGGGAGGAGAGTCCGATAGGCGTGTGTAGAGGGAGTGTGTAGAGAGAGGGGGAGGGAAGGGTGGTTGGGGACAGTGAGTGACACTGAGGGACTGCGGACCAACAGGTGGACAATCAATGACCTAGTGCGTGTGCAGAAAGACAGACAGACAGACAGACGGACAGGCAGACGAATGACCGGGGAAGCGGCCCTCACCTGCACAGGGAGGCTGTTTCCCAATCCAACTGTGGATGTAGGTCTCCCCATCTCCCCCCGATCTCTCCCTCTCTCTCTCTCTCTCTCTTTCTGTGTGTGTGGGGTGTGTGTGTGTTTGTGTGTGTATGGGACGGACATGTCGCAAAGCAATCGCCAGCCTGAATGTTTTATTATCGGATGGCGTCTCAGCACTTTTTATGTATGTATGTATGCATGTACGCCCATCCATCCGTCCATCCATCCAAGGTCTGTGTGTGTGTGTCTGTACACACATGTACTTTATACACACTCCGTCCACTCACGCAGCCCATCCCAGCCCATCATTTCTTCTTTCTGCCGCCCTTTTTCTTCTTGCCGCCCTTGCCGCCCCCACCCAGCGACTGAGAGATCGCCTCCAACGTCTGCTTCGATATCCTGCTTGAACCACACACATCACACATGGGGGGATGATACACACGCAGAGAGAGACTTTGATTGACAGGCTGTATGCAGGCAGGCAGACACACCGTTCTGGCAGCATGATTGTTTTGAGGTGCGTGTTGCCGACAATGCCCTGCAGCAGCCGCTCGGCACCCGCATCTGTGATCGAGTTGCCCAGCAGTCGATACTCCTCTATGCCCTGGGCAGCTCGATCGCACACAAACACACAATCAATCACCATATATCCAAGAGAAGGATGGATCGACACACCGTGTGGTTGACAAAGAGGTAGAGCAGGTTGTCGAGGACGTCATCGCTGTCGCCGAACTTGTTGTCCGACAGATCCAAACACTTGAGACGCTGCGCACGACGAGCGCCACGCAGCACCTGCACAATGAAGGAGAGACCGTTTCTCCGTCTGCCCATGTCTCATTTATCTTATGCAGTCTGCTGACGTGACGTCCTTACATCAATGGCGCCTTCCCTGCCGAGCTCGTTGCCCCTCAGCAGCACCTCCGTCAAGGCAGACCGGACATACATCAGCATCTGCGACAGCGCCACACCTCCATTCGACGTTATCCCGCAATACTAAACACACACCACACCACACAGAGAAAGACTACGCAGGAGGGGGACACACAGTCCTCCCTCACCTGCAGAGACAAATGTTTGATGCTGGCATTCTCGGCCAGCCCCTTTGCGAGCGCCTCAGCGCCCTCGCTGCCGATCTTGTTGAAGTCCAGCCGCAAGAAGGTGATCTTTGCGTTGCCCGTCCGGCAGAGTGTGCGGCCGACGAAGTCGCACCCGAGTGGCGTCATGTTAGTGTCGACGAACTGCAGCTCCTCCACGTTAGGCGATGGGATGGCGTCGAGGTAGTAGCAGATGCTCCGCACAAACTCGTCACCACCGCGACACCGCCAAAGGCGCAACGCACGGATGCCCTGCGTGTACGATGCATGTGTGCAGTGCAGAAAGGCGTTTATGTTTGTATGTCTGCCTGTCTGCCTCTCTGTGTCCTGTCTGCCTCTCTGTGTGTCTGTGTGTGTGTGTGTCTGTCTGTCTGTGTGTCCTGCGCACGGGGTAGTTGGTCTGGTGGAGTGTGTGCATGAGGACTCTGAACGCCATGGGGTCGATCTCCTCGCGGAAGTTCCACCCAGCGACGGGCTCACCATCCTCCTGAATCTGCACACACGCCACATGCGTCAAAACAACCACTGGTGCGTGTGTGTGTCTGCCCTTTGCGGCTCCTCGGCTGACCTTTGCGAGGATTCGCTCGACCTCGGGTATCTTTGGTGTCTCATACTCCTTGACATTCTTCCTGTAGGCCTTCAGGAACACCTGCAGGCCATGCGTGAGCGCATTGCAAACATCCACGCAAGGACGTGTCACAGTCTTCGCTTCCTTTTCTTCTCTGTCCGTCGTTACCTCAAGCGGGTCAGGCTCATCGCCCCCCTTGGCCGCAGCCTTCTTCTTAGGTGCCATGGCCTTTCTCGGTCTCTCTCCTGCAGTGGGGGCTTCGTGGGGGCCGCGCCTCGAAAGCCCAAAATGACAGAGAACGACCAGCCCGTAGACCACGACGATGCTCTGGACGAGCCATCTGTGGAGCCAGATGAGCTCTCCGACGCCCCCTGCCCTCCCACCTTCCTCCCCCCTCTCTCGCCCAGAGCCCCGCCATTTGTCGACGAACGCGTGCTGCGGCGCACTCATCACGCTGCCCACGCCCGCGCCAGCTCCACACGGATGTTCTCGCAGCTGTATGCTGAGCGAGACGCCATTAGGGACGCCATCTTGCGGGAGAGAGAGGACCTTCGGAGGTCGTCGCTGAGACACAGAATGGACCAGGAAAGAAGATGGGCTCGGCGGCTGAGTAGCAGCCCTTTCCTCGTCGATCAGCTCGCCGACACGCAGCGCATCGAGGAGTCCACCCGACTGCAGACGGCGCTCGAGCGGCACCACATGAAGCAGGCAATGGACGAGGAGCGCCGCGCATTCACTGCGCTGTTCCGTGGCGCGGTGCGGCAGGCCGACCAGCTGGAGAGAACGAGAAGGAAATGGCTGGAGGTGAGGGAGAGGGAGAGGCAGCTGAGGATTCTGCAGGATTTGGCGAGGAAGGAGCGGCTGCCTCGGCTGCCTTTGGTGACGTAGACGGAGATGAGGCAGCATGCGTCGATTGGGGGTGGAAGTGTCAGGAGGGGCTGTGGGAGTGTTGAGACGGCCTGTACGGCCAGATGATGGGATGGATGGATGGATGGATGGATGGGGGGTGGGTGAACGGGCAATTCGTGTATGCATCATGCGGACGGACACGTTGATTGCTGGGAGACACATTCTGACTAACGAGGGGGGGATGTGTGTGCCGTGTGTGTTCGTCCAGTGCTCTGTGCCTGTGCAGTGCAGTGCCTGCTGTCCGACATTGTTTTCACTGTTAATGCAATGCAATCAATGCACCTACCTGATCGATGGCATATCAATATGATATGATATGATCAACTAATGTCAAACAAACCGGCCTGCCAGGCCAGGAGAGTCAACCAAAATCAATCTAGCCATCCATATTAACAACGAGCGAAGAGAGAGAGGCCGCCTGGCCCACTCACCACCCCCAGCCACCCACCCCCACCCCCCTACGCTATGCTATGCGCGCGTCACGTCGATGTGTGTGTGTGTATCTGTGCCAATCTGTCTGTGTCCTCCATATCGACGTTAGTATGTCGGTCTGTACAGCTCGATCCATCGAGTCGATCACAGTGAGGTTCTGGGTCCGAAGGCATCCTGCTCCGACGCATTGGTCGGCGACTCGTGCGGCTGGGCCAGCGCCGCCAACTCCTCAGCACGCTTACCGCCCAACCAGCTGCAGTGCACACAACAGACATACACACACATACACATCCATCCATCCATCCACACGCATGCAAGAGTGTACGCCCGTCGTCTGTGTGTGCCGCCATGGCCACCTTACCTGACGATATCAGACCGAAGACTCACAGTATCGCCCTCGCGTGAGGCCACCAGCGACGCGTTGCTCTCGCGCATGGTCTGCTCTATGTCTGCCAGGACGGTCGTCAGCTCGCCCTCGTCGATGGCTGTGCGACGCGACAACACACCGGGCCAGTCGGCTGTGTACCTGTAGCAAAGAGGGGTGCAGACAGAAGTGGATGTGTACTGTACCCTTCGCATTTTCCCTCCCACCGCTTGGTGACATCCAACACTTCATAGGGGCTGCAGCAGCACACACACACACATCACACACGTCGATTTGATGCTCTAGCCAGCCAGCCAAATGGTTCGTTGAGCTGAGCGGACCTGTATGCGATGACGTAATTGAGCTTCTTGCCCCAGCCCTTCTCATACATAAGCGGTGAGTCCAGCGCAGCCTCACAGGAGTCCAAATGATACACACGGTGCTGCGGCGATGCGCCGCACCCAGCACCCTTCGTCGCCTTGTGCATCTTCTGCAGATAGGTGTGTCGGGGGGATGACGGCCGCTGGGGGTTTGTGGTGCCATCGGCGACACCCGGCACACAGATCTCTGCCAAAGCAAGCAAGGCAAGCGAGGGGCCCACAGCCAGCCAAGAGGATTGATCCATCCAATCCAATCCAATCCTGCTCTAACTAATGGAGTGGATCCGATCCACATGTGTATGCTATGCGTGTGACTGACATGTGATGCTGACTGACACTGTACACACCCGTCCAGACGTGGTCAGTGAAGTCGACGCACAGACGAGCGTCCAAACCCAACTGCAGCACACACACATACACACATGGACACACATACACACATGGACATACACACTGATTTTTCCGTCCGTCCCTGCACTGACCGCGATGCAGAGTAGTGTAAAGCACTTGGCCCACTCGCCGCATCGCCCCGTACGCGACGACAGCAGCGCCGCACACCCGTTGTACCGAGGGAAGACCGTCAACGCACCACAGGCCGGCTGACTCTCCTGCTGCTGCTGCTGCTGCTGGCAGCACCCAAACAGCTGCTGCAACATGCTGGGGGGCTTCTGTGACGCGTTGGCGCCGCCAACGCAGCGGTAGATCTCGACTCGCTTGGCATTCGGGAGGGGAACGGTCTCGGTCTCCATCCTCTCGGTGGCGCCTGAGTGAGCCATTCGTGCCATGCAACACCCATTCCCAGCACACACATTCACGCATACCAAGCATAGTGCAGGATGGGTGGATGTGTGTCATGCTCTTGCCTTGGCACTTGTCGCACGTCGGGGTGAACGAGAACCAGGTGAAGAACTCGTGTTTGAACCAGTGCAGCAGATCGCGGAGGAAGTGCTCAAGCTCGTCGCTGGTGTCGGTAGGGATAGCCAGAAGGCGCTCGGGGATGAACGAGAATGCATAATCGAGGAGATCTTCGTCCATATAGTCTCTGAATGAATGCACCGTGCAAGCAAATAATGAGTTGCGAACACACGAAGAGTCGAAGGCTTACCTCTTGATGAGATCTGCGTAGGCTCTGAAGCTCTTGGCCGATACCTTTCCCACCACCATCAGGGCACCTCGTGACGAGCCAAGCTCGCAAGTCCCCGGGCCCCAAATCCCTTTCCCCCTTCTCTCCCCAGGTTGGATGCAATGCCGACTGCAGAAGATGATGCCACCAGTGCAGCGGACCCACACAGTCTTCCAGGCCCTCCCTGCCTGCACTGCCAGGCGCCTGCAGCCCGGTCACCGTGGGGCAGAAACGAACTAGGTACCAGGGCAGAAAGGAAGCCGGGAGGTGGCACTCCCTGCTGCATTGTAGAACGAAAGAGCTTCACTTTCCCTTTGCAACTACATGCAACAATCCCCAAGCTGCATGTGATGTGTGTGCTTTCAGGCCGTCCTCACTTCTACCATAAATCTCACGACTGCAGTGCAGTGCATGACCCTCCCTCCCTCCCCCCTGTCCACCGCCGCCCATCCCCTACGACATCGCTGACTGATCGGGTCGGACATTGACTGTTCGGCCCTCCCCGGCCCTCCGCAATGCCATTGTGGTGGCGGCGGTGGGTTTCGTTTCTCACGACAGTTGGCTGCTGCTGGATAACACGGACAGTAACCAAGAGGAACGTCTTCCAGGGGACAAGCGAGTTCCCCTGCCACGGTTTGCAATGTTCATGCCGTTTGGCTTGGCCATGGAAGAATGCCTGTTATCGTGGGTGCCTTTCGTCAGATTGCTCTTTGATGGGCGGCAAGAAGCTCCGCGGCAACCCAACCCCTGTGGCGGTCTCTCTCCTGCAGACGTCCTCCAGCAGTAATTATGTCTTTCCCCGGGGGAGCCGCTCGCTCTCCTTCCTGCAGCTCAAGAGAAGAGCTGCCGTCACGCTGCAACACCAGAGAAGGCGGGAAAGGGCCGCACGCGCAGCCGAAGAGCCCCTGGATGCTCCCTCGCCAGACGATGCAACGAGCAATGATTGGGAATCGTTTACTCCGGCTCAGCGTGACAAGTTGTCGACATGCTGCTCGAAGTGTTTGCTGCGTAGCGACTGTTTTCTGTGGGAGTACCAATTCTCTTCGGGCAAGTGTGCTTTTTACTCGGGCAAGTTTGGGACCAAGGGGGCCGAGGAAAACCGCGATTAAGTCCTGGGAATACCCAACCCTGGTCAGCCCGCCACCCAGAACCAGCAAGCACAAGAAAGCCAGAAACCACGCTCGCATTCTTTATCCTTATGGGGGTGTGTGCAGTGCGGAACCCGGACGGGACAGTACATCAGCGATGCGTCGGAGGAGTACATCAATGTGTACCTGGCCGTGCCGACCCAAAGCGAGGATTCAGAGGGCAAACTGCGCCCGTGGCCGCGCTTCCCCGACGACTTTGCCTTCGCCACAACGATGGATGATGTCGACGTCCGTCTATGAGTGCATCGAGGTCATGTCGCAGAAGAAGAGCTTCGTCTGTGTCAGGACTGGGCGGGCCGCCGTGGACATGGGATGGTCGGAGCAAGCGGAAGAGGACAAAATTTGTGTGGAGGTCGCCATAGCCGTGGATCCCGTTGATAAAGGCTTTCTGTGCTTTGCGGCGTCGTGGCCACAGGTGCTCATGAATGAATTTGCAAATCACTTTGCGTGTCAAGGCACCCATGCTTGCTTCTTGCCCGTCTGTGCTGCGCATGGACGTCCACGGCCACGACATTGTCTTCACCTCTCTGGGCAAGGGTCTGGACGGCCGCCCGACATGCATCCCGTGGAGGCCAAAGGAAGGCGGCAAGACATGGGAAGACAGCTTCCTATGCCTCGGTGCGCCATGTGAAGGGAGGCATGGCATACATGACTGTGCCTGGCTGCTCTTGGATCATGTCTCAGAGCGTCGCGACAACCCGGGCCTGTACCGGAGGATAGTGATGCCCGAGTGCACGGAGACGCACTACTCGTGCAGCACTGCCGCCGGGGAGTTCTGCGATAAGCTGCAAACCTGCAACTTCCAAGTCACCTCGTAAGTGAAGCCGCGCGCCTGTTGACGGATCTCTCGTACGTATTTGTGTGCTTGGCCAGCCCTGCCTTATTGAAGGAGATATCGTCTCCGATCGAGGGCAAGGCCTTCTGCCGCAGCTGGAACGCCAAATTCATCGCAAACCCCGGTCAGTCAGCCAACAGTCAACTGTGAGTGGCTGGCTGCTTGTGTTTGTGTCGCCTGTTTGTGCACATCAATCCATTGATGCGTCCGCCATGAATGCTGTCTGTGTGCAGACTACACCAAGCCGAGTGGTCTGCCTGACGAGGCGTTCGAGTGGCACCTCATACTCGTGTCGCCCGACAGCTTCCACGGGTACAGGCTGCGGGTGACCAGGCCACGCTGCTGCACCACGCCATTCGGCAAGCCATGCTTCAATAACATCGCCGCCCCGCCGAGCGATGAAGCAAAGAAGGCAGCCGACGAGCCAGCAAGCAATTCCACCAGGCCGCCCGAGCGCGCCCCGCCGTCGGCTCCAATGGATCAGGAATCGGTGGATTCCTTGTTCCGCCGGCTGTCGCCTGTGGGCCCGTCGACACTCAAGGCATTCCTGCAGACCATCAGTGAGACCGCAAAGACAATCCTCGCCGAAACTCGCGCAAGAGCGGCCGGCCGTCCGTCCGGGAAGAAGCCGCCAGGCAAGCCCCGGTCACATCTGGTGGACGAGCTGCCGCCACTACGAAGCTACCACCACGCACCTGAGACGAAGTTCGTCGAGGTCCGGGTGCGCCGAGCGGGCGACAGCGGCGATGACAGCGGCAGTGATGGCTCGAGTGACGAGGGTGGCGTGAGCAAGCCTGGCGAAGGCGACGCGAGCAGCATGGCGGCGGAGCTGGCGTGGCTGTCGCTGACCAAGGACGAGGCGGCGATAATGGAGGAGGGCCGCTTCTTCATCGTGGGCGATGAGGTGACGGTTGGCTGCGACGAATGTAAGCCAGCCAGCCAGCGAGTAAAATCATTCATGAGTGAAGTGATACATACACGCAGATCAGATGGGCGGAAAGAGAAAAGAGGGAGAGAGAGGGGAGGCATTCAATGACATTCATTTCTTGTGTCTCCCTCCCTCCTTGTCGTGTTGGCGTGCCTCTTGCAGTCAACATCTCCGCAAACATTCCGCGTGAGCAGCCTCCATCTGGCCTGCCACACGTATTGGCCCCTTGATTTCTCTGCATCTGTCTGTGTCACTTCATGCAGGTATGCGCTACCGATTTCAGCGGCACGCCAAGAACGACACGATCTTCTTCTTGGATGTGCTGCCCATGCCGGCATTCCTCGACCTCTTTGGCCTCGACTACCGCGACTGGTGCATGGGGACAAGCCGGTTCGACGTCGGGGATGACGAGCCGCTCTGTCTCTTCAAACGGGCCACGTATACCGAATGCAAAGACACAACATACGGTCGGTCACGTGATAATGGCACCGGACAGACCAGGCTTAACACGAAGTATCGGCATATATCGTTTCATGTATTCCCCCGATTGATGCGCAGGCGACCCTTGTGTGTTGGTGAAAGAGGTCCCGACGGCCGAGTTGGAGCTGCTCGAGGGCCCGCCTCTGGTGCCCAACGACTTTGTGGGCCGATTCGTGCGGGCTGTGGTTGGCGGCAAGGCGTTCCCCGATGTCTACCTGATCGTCAGAGAGCCGGGGCAGACATTCGTCAGGAAGAGAATCGGTACGGCCGACACAAGGGACCGACCGTGTCTCGCATGCAAGGCTCATGAAGTGTCTGTGTGGGCCTGTCCGTGTGTGAGCCCAGTCGTGGCCCCCGAGAGCAGCCAGGGATGTTGCCGCGTCAAGCACCCGAGCGAGATCCTTGGCCGGATGCGTGAGCACACGACAAAGGGCACTCACAAGATACTCAAGACGTGCGACAGGGACAACCCACTCACCATGGAGTGCTCAGCCAGCAAGATTCCACACTTCTTCGACCGAATCGTCACCGATATGCAAAAGGACATCATATGCCAAGGTAGGTCAACCAGGCCAGACACGCAGCCAAGCCACTTGTGGATTGAAACAATCACCACATGACCTCTGCGTGTGGCATCCATCCCTACCTCAGAGGGCACTGGAGATTGGCACGAAGTGGGCGTGGGCGATGACTGGGTGATCGGGTGTCTCGCCGTGGGGGGCGGGTGTGTGCCGGCGGTGCCGTCCGTCGACCTGTGCATGTCTGAGTGCGAGGCCATCCAGGAGGCGGAGCTCTGCAACGCGTTCAACTACTACGAGAACCCGTCTGACCCACGGGCGTCCCTGTGCTGCCTGCAGTCGTGCCCCGACCCCACCAAGCCAGTGCAGAAGAACGTCAGGCCGGAGCAAGTCAGGGGATGGACAAAATACGTCAACCACATGGGTAGGGAAGGAAGGGACAAAGCATGGGTGGAGGGAGCCCTGTGCTGATTTGATTTGATTTGCTGCGATATGTATCTGTGAAAGTTGAGAAGGGCATCGACATCGCCATGCTGCCTTTCCGTAAGCCTGCCGTCTGTGTCTCCCGCAGTTCGCACGTGTGGTGTTTTGTTTCCTTGCAGCCTCCCCCGGGTGCAGTGCGGTGGTGTTGCAGAATCGCGATGCATCCAATGGGATATACACGTTCAACGTGGCGGGCAAGGCCACCCGGACATACTGCGTCTTCGACAGGGAGCGGGGCCACATTTGGACATTCATAAGGTCGATCCGCCTTGCCGACTACAGCGTGCCGGGAGGCTTCCGGGGAGTTCCTTTCACCGCCGATGTCGTGGCCGCTGGCGTCAGAATGGCCACTATGGACAAGCTGGTCAAGGAACCGCCGAAGGAGTCGTTCAATGTCAACTATGGTGCGTGTGACGAATGAATTGTGTGACGCAGGCCGACAGCAGCTGTGCATATATTTCTGTGTGTGCAGGAGTGCTCAAGGCGATGCTTGAGGACCCCAACGCTGCCTGGACGCACTTCATGGCCACATGCAACTTCGACACGTCCCAGAGCCGGGACTACATACTGGTCGAGCTCACTTGGGGAGACCCCTTCCCGATCGCATTCGAGGCCCAGGACCAGTGCATCGACATACTCTCGTAAGCCAAGCCACAACCGAGAGAGACAGACACCCCAACGGCTCACTTTCCTACGGTCCCCCCTCCCCTCCCAATGCAGCTACGACATTCGTGGTGACTCGTGCAACGCCCCCAGCCCATGTGCCCTCCCCTTCAGCCAGGGCATGGGCAAGTACGACTTTCACGTGGACTCTAGCAAGGCGGCGGAGGGCGCGTGTGCGCCGGACAAGTCGGTTACGCGGGCCAAGAAGGGCGGGGAAGACAACTTCGGCTACTACAAAAACGTCAACAAGGAGTTCACCTGCAGCTACGACGATGACTCAACCACCAACTTCTGGCTCGGCGAAAAATGTGCTTGCACACTCACTGATTTGTTCAGACATCCTCCCCATCGGTCCCTTGTGGATCGAAACGTGTGTCTGTCTGTGTGGTGATCAGTCTCCCACCCGAGCAAGTTGTGCGGTTATCCGTTCGAGTACGAAATGAAGCCTGGGTTCAAGTGCACGGGTGACGTGATGCGTGAGATGGACTGGCTGGGCCAGGCGTATGGCACAGACAGGTCCAGGAAGGAAACCGTGTGCAGAGGCGAATGCACACTCCAGCCACTATGTGCCGCATACTCACTCCAGGTGGACGGACGGCCGCGAGGGAGGCTGCAGCGCTTCACAAATCAAGCGCCAAGAGGACATCGTCCTTTCTTTCTGTCTGTCGTTTCTGTGTGTCTGTTTGTCTCCCTCCTTCACTCAGGCTGAGGTGGGGAACGAGACTTCGTCAACATGCACGTTGTGCAAGCGCGCCGACCGTTGGGAGTCTCGGAGTGGCGTGTGGTCCGGGTACAAACTATATGACCCGGCTTCCAAGCGCCCATGCTCCATCTCTGATGGATGCTTTGTCCAAGCCATGAGGAGCGAAACTGGTGGGCCAGCCAGCCAGCCAGTCCTGCCTATACACATATCACATCTGCACCCCTGTTGTGGCGGTGTGTGTGTATGTGTTAGCTGAGGGTATGGCGTGTGACCACAGTGAGGGTCCGGCTCGGCGGTCTCGTGTGATGGGGGTGTCCACCGGCCCCGTGCACCAGATCGCCCATTACAGCATGCACGACACATATAGGGGGAAGCCGGAACAAGACATGCTTTGCAGGCAGGAAGGACAGGGGAGGGAGAGAGACACCAAGACACACACTCACACAACACATCGTGCCCGCCAATGGATACTCTCTCTGGGTGTCTCTCTCTGGTGTGATCAGGTGCTCTACCTACTGTGTTGCCTTGCAGGGGCTATTTGTTGGATGAGATGCTCAAGTATAGAGTGCCGTTCATCGGCTGCTATGAGGTCCAGCGGGAGCGGCACCCCGACAGTGTGGGAGACACGTGGTGCAATCTTTATGACACCTCACGGACCATCAGCACCGGGGGAAGCTTCAGGGCAGGCCGGGTGCTCTTCCCACTCTGCGACAAATGTACGTGTCTGTCGTGTGTGTTTGGCCGCTCCCTCTATCCCTCTCTGTCTCCGGGCACGTGTGTGTGTGTTGTGTTGTGTTGTGTTGTGTCAGCCACTCGGGAAGAGTCAGAGGGTGTTGATGAGGAGGAAGAGCCCCGCACCTCGACTCTCCACACGCCTAAGAGCAATCTCACAATGTCCTTGCACCAGCAGCAGTCACTGAAGCGCATCGGTGAGGGCCGACGGCCTCACAGGCCAAGACGCGGATGGATTGGCGGCTGGGGTGTCTATGCGGCCGAGGAAAAAAGAATGCCCGTGAGGGAACGTGATATCAACGAGGGGCTGGCCTGGCGGAAGGACTCCGAGACCGACCGCCTGCGAAGGTTTAGGCTAAGGATAGGCCAGTCGCGGCGGCGGCATGTGCAGAGAAATAGTGACAAGAGAAGACACAGGACTTGTTGTTCATATCCCCTGGGGCCTGTCGTGAGATAGATAGGTGGGTGCAGTGCATGTGTGCACATTCTCCTTTCGCTGGTTATCGATGTGCCCATGATCGTCTAGTAGGTCGCTAGTGTGTGCATGTTATGTTCTTTTTTGGCGTGCTATCCATTCATTCATTCGTCCATGTGTGCGTGGTGATGCCTTCCTTGTGTACCAGCGGTTCACTCGTGCCCTCTGATGATACCAAGTGCTTTCATGTTGAGTGCAAACATCCAATGCTGTCCCCTATATATTCAAATGCGTGTGAATGCTCAGGAGTGCTGTCCTCAAAATATTCCAATTCGTTGGCTCGCATACGGATTCGGGTAAATAAATGGACAGACAGACAGACAGACGATCAGAGACACGCATGACTGACGCTGTGCAACACAACACCTGCACCGTTCTGTGCTGCTCGGTCTCGCTGGATGGCGGGGTGGGTGGGTGAGTGCAGACGCGTCGAGTGCACGTCGTGCTCATACCTGCTGATGCTCGAGCAGGCAATCCAGGGCGCCGAAATCAACGGCAAGTGGACACAAACACGTACATGGCTACCAGTCAGTCAGTCAGTGGGAGGGTGGGTGCATCTCATCCACTCGTGTGTCTCCTTTGTGTGTGTGTGTGTGTGCTGTGTGTGTGTAGGCTGCGGCAAGTTCAGCGCGGGCGGCAAGATGATCTTCGCCAACTGACCGACTGACTGATCTCATACCACTCGTTGCATGACAAACACACAGAGACAGAGAAGGAACATGCAGCCGACCAATGAATGAATGATCCAACCAACCAACCATCAATTCATCCATCCGTCCATATGCGTAGGGATGAAGAAGCGTAGGGAAGATGACCAGACTGTGTGACGCATTGACGTATACATTCAAATGCGTGCATTGCCATCATATGCGTCTTCGTTACTCATCCACTATCGTTACTCATCCAATCAGCGGCACAGCGCAATCTTCCTCGCTTAGCTCACGCCATCGGCATGTCGACCACCACTCTCGCGTGTTGTACCCGTACCTCTCACCCCAAGTCTGGGGGCCAAGAAGACGGGGCGAAGCGCGCGGTGGAGATCGGGGCGTCTTGTCGCGGGGAGATTTCTGCGTAGACGGAGCAGAGTGCTAGCAAGAGGTAGGAAGGAAGCCTTCAACACACACCTGATCCACTCGTGCGCGTGTGCTACCGTCATCAGATCAGTGATCAACACGAGGCCCTCGTAGCGCTATCCCCATGGTCCTGCTGGTTGATGGAGAGAGGCTCCCTGAATCGGCTCCCGCACTCGAGTCTGTGCTTGCTGCCCTGAAGCGCCACGAGGGTGTGCTTGTTCACCCATCTATACAGCCACCAGCAGCCCGGCCCATACAGCAGCAGGACATACCTGCCGAGCGCTACACATCAGCCGCAACGCTGGCGTTCGTCAAGGAGGATGTGGGCCTCGTGCAGGCAGACAGTGCCATTTATTGCCACCAGGCGGAGTGGGCGTTCACTTTTAGTGATGCGGCGCCGTCGATAGACGGCAATCCGCCCTCTTCGCAGCAGCACCAGCAGCAGTCGCTTCTAATCGGGTCACAGGTGATCTGGGAGAAGAGCCACACACACCAGGCCAGATGCAAAGCATGCCTGCCTGCCTGCCGCGTGTGTATGCAGGACGCAACAACATGCGTGATTGCCCTTCTCCGGGTGCAGCTCCCCGGCCGCTCCCTATGTATTTGCTGCCACATGGACGGCGCACTCAACCAAGACAGGAACCTGAGGGCGCGGATCGAAGCCCTCCTGCCCTCCCCTCCCCCCACCCTACCCCCCTACCGGGCCGAGCTGCACCTGTTGGGTGCCTTCGCCGACCACCCTGGGTCTCGCCCAGCGGCCATGTCCCGCAGGAATCTGGCCGTGGGTCTCGGCCTGTTCCACCAGCTGCCGACGGTGGAGTGTCGGCTGCGCGTGTGCTGCGTGGATGTGGTCAACACTGTGGAGGAGAGTGGGACGCGGCGCGTGCGTGTGTGGGGCATGGCCATGGATAGCCGCAGTGGCCACGTCGGGCCCGTCGTGTTTGCTCAAGACGCCTTGCCGAGCGTGTCGCTGCCGTTGCGCCACTGGGCGAGCAGCTCCAGTGACGGCAACCCGGTCGAATACTACAATCCATCCCATGACGGTCAGCCACTGAGCCGCTGACATGTAGAAAGCAAAGCATCAATGCGCCCGTGTTTTGTTGTGTTTCGTCGCCGTGATGGATGTGATGTGCAGAGTATGCGATTGCCGTCGCGCCTGAGGAGGCGGGCAGTGGTTCGACGATGCCGGATGACCTGCTGGACTTCCTTATTAATGCAAACGATGCCTTCATCCTCAAACACTGCAGGCAAGGAAGCGACCAGATATTCTTACACACATGACTGCATGCATCATTCTCGTCCCTGTTCGTTCTGCGTGTGGCATTGCAGCACCAGCCCGCAGTGCGAGCCGAGCCATTTCCCCGACCAGCTGCGGGCCAAGTGGCGCTTCATGAGGGGCCATCCAGACCCATCTGCCCTCTTTCCAAACGGGCGGCCGATCGTGTACAAGAGGTGCTGGCGAGAGGGCGGCCGTGTGGAATGGGTGCAGAGAGGCGAGGAACGGTGATTGGATTGCTTGTATGTACAGAGTTGATTAGTGGTGTCCATACACACAGACAGGGGCGGGGGGGTGGTGGGTTCGGGAGCATGTTTGTTTGCATCAAGAGACCGCATTGCCCACCACTACAGACAGGGACATCAAGAGACCGCAACGGCCGTGAGTAGACAATGCCGACGGTTACAACATAAGTCAATGCGTCACACAGTCTGGTCATCTTCCCTACGCTTCTTCATCCCTACGCATATGGACGGATGGATGAATT